GAGGAGGAGGAGGAGGAGAAGTAGGAGGCGCTGGCGCTGCGCGATGGCTCGTGTCCGCGGGGAGGCCGGTTCTGGCGTCTCGCGCTTCAAGCGGTCCAGGTTGTCCGCATCGGCAGTGGCATGGGGGAGAGGAGGGGAGGAGGCAGGAGGGAGAGGCGGCAGGAATAGGGGGGGGAGCGAGGGGTGGCGGGGAGTAGGCGGGAGAGGCGGGGGTGGAGACGGGCGGAGGGGGGGGCGCGGAGGTTTGGAGGGAGGGACGATAAAGGGGGAGGAACGGAGGGAAAGCGTTATGACAGCGTGGGAGGAACGAGTGGAGGCAGTGAGGAGGGGGCGACGAGGAGGGAGAGAAGACATGAGGGGTCGGGCCCGTCGGGTCCGAGGAGCCCGCGGGCGGGTTGTGAGCGCGTTTTTCCACCCAGTCTTGCCAGCGGCAGGTCACAGTGCTCACCACGGGCTTCTGGCCCTCGTACCAGGTTCAGGAGATCGCGAGCTCTCCGTCCCCTCCTCATCCTCTCTCTTTCTTTTCTGAGGGGGGGAGGGCGGGGGGGGGATTTGAAGACGACTACGGCGAACTACCGCCGTCTCTTGCCTCTTCGGAAGCGCCTGTGTGGCCAAACGTTGGGCCGACGTCTTGACAAGCTACTGGGCCACGTACTTCCCCTGCCGTTGTTGAGCCCCTGGGGGAACACGTGTGGGAGGAACACAGGGACAGAGAGAGAGAGGGACATACATATACATGCAACATCGACAGAGAGAGGGAGAGAGACAGATAAGGAATGATAAACATGAAAGAGCGAGCGAGACATACCAATCTAAAGAGAGAGGATCTAGAGAGAGAACAAAACAAACAAACCGGCGATAGAGAGAGAGAGAGAGAGAGAGAGAGAAAGAGAAAGCGAGAGAGGAAGAGGAGGAGGGGGAGGAGGAGGAGGAGGAGGAGGAGGAGGAGGAGGAGGAGGAGGAGGAGGAGGAGGAGGGGGTGGAGGAGGAGGAGGAGGAGGAGGAGGAGGAGGAGGAGGAGGGAGGAGGAGGTCGGGAGGTCGGTCGGTCGGTCGGTCGCTGCTTCGGGCCTCGGGTGGAGAGTCAACCACTGAAACACATCAAACATATAATTCGATATGTACGACCTGCAGTGCGGGAGCGGACGATATGAAAATTGCGTGCTCTCCCTGGGAGCCCCGAGTTGTCTTCGCTCTACCATCTGCGGTGAGACCACTCGCTCGGTTAGACTGAGTTTCGAGAGCCGTTCCAAACCTGCTGTGCTGCTACCTTGCATGCTGGTGTGCTGTGCACGTGCCAGATGGCTGCTGCTGACGCGTGGAAGGGGGGTGAGGGGCCGCAGGCGTCGGAGGAGGGAGGACCAAAGGTGGTGGAGGATCATTCACGAGACAGCCGCTGCCGCACTCCTCGCGGGCGGTCTCGCGCGAGCCGCCGCTCCTCCTCGCCTCGGGCGCTCCCCGCCTCGGGCTCGGCCCTGCCATCCCCGGTCAGACTGCAGTGCGCCACAACAGACACGGCGTCCCCTGAGTCCGACGATGAGGGCAGCGCGGGGGCCTCCACGGAGACAGACCGCGCCGCGAGAGGCTCGGGTCCGTCACGACAGCTGATCCAGCGCCAGCTGGAGGAGGCGCTCCTGGTGTCCACGAGGAGCTGGGGCAGGCTTGATCTCCGCGCCGAGCTGCTCGGCGCACCGAAGGAAGCACTGCTCGATGCTGGGATCGCCGATAGCGATCGTGATCTTCGCCTGGCTCTCTTTCCAGCACTGCGAGACGCGGCGTCCGCACACCAGAAACGTGAGCTCCTCCACGGGCATCGCTTCGATCGTGGTGTAGGTCGCGGCCCACGCATCCTTTTTGCGGAGCCCGACTCAGTCCCCCGCGCCGCGCGCGGCCAGGGCGATCTGCAGGAGCACCTGGACTGCTGGCCCCGTGACCAGGTCTGGGGCTCGATGTTGAGCGGGGTCGGAAGCGTGAAACTCGCGCAACTTCTGCGCCTCCAAAGCGTAGGCCTTCTCCGCTGTGAAGCCCGCCGCCGCGATCGCGGCGTCTTCCGACGTCAGCAAGGTGTGGTGCGTGGACGCCATCAGGTTCCTGATGTTGAATGCGTTCCTCAGGATCGCTTTCGCCATCAATGGGATGCGCTTGAGAGCGAGCTGTATCTCCATCGGCGGCAAGCGATCGAGCGCGTCCTGCAGGAGGTCGTAGCTCCAGACGAGCTCCGTCTGTATCTCGCGGCGCCCTCCACGGGCGCGAGACGCTGGGGTAGCGGCGGCGGCCCCGCTTGCTGCTGGCTGCGGCGCTGCCGTTGCGGCGCGCCCGTCGCTGCTGCGGCCGCCTCCCCTGGCGCGGCGGGGGTGCGCCCCGCGGCTGGTACTCTCGGAGCCACCTCGGCCGCCGCGCGCTGGCGCGGCTCAGCGACTGTGGGAACGGGGGCGGCCCCTGGCGGGCTGCCTGCGCCCGCTGGGGCACGCCGAGGCGCTGGCTGCGGCGTGTGCTGCTCGAGCAAGCGCGCTTGCAGAGCTGCGAGGTTCTCGGGCCCCCCCCCCGCTGAGCACGCGAACTCCAAAGACTTGAGGCCTGACAGGATGGCCGACGCCGTGATTGAGGCCAGGGGGCGCATCAGGGACTGGGGTCCTCGACCTTGTGGTAGTAGGGGGACCTCTGAACGGGGCGTCTGCGAGTCAAACAGGCTGTTGCCGCATGCTCCTGGGCAATTCGACGCGTTCGGAAGGCACTGGGGACGCGCGCTGATTGGTGATAAAAATGGGGTGAATGCTGGACCGACATCCGTGGCCCCAGTTTTTTTTTTTTTTTTTTTTTTTTGGGGGGGGGGGGGGGGGTATGTGTGTGTGTATATATATATATATATATATTCATAGACTTCTGGTGTGCGATCAGGGCACGGCGAGTAGCGAACTCGTGCTCGCGCGGGGCCCCCATCGGAGCTCGCGGCGCCAGATCGCCGTCGGCGGTGGGGGCGCCCCCTCGGCAGCAGCAGGAGGCCGCCAGCCGGGCGGCGGGATCGCCGCCGTGCGCGCCCGCGCCCGCAGCAACCCAGGATCCGGCATCAGGTGGCTCTCGCGCAGGTCCTCGCGGGTGAACAGCGCAACAACGTCGAGCAAGCCGACTGGCGTCTGCAGGTCCTCGCGCAGCTCGCTCGCCTCGGCAACCTCCAGCAACGCCTCGAGGTCGGCGACGAACCTCGGCGCGTGCGGGTTGGCGTCGGCAGCGACGGAGCCGTCGGCGCCATGCGTCGGGGTCCGTGCCGGCGGCAGCTCTCCAAACGCCACGGCGAGCTCCTGCGGACGTCGGCTGGGGAGCCGAAGCCAGCGTTGGTACTGGCGTAGTCGACGAACTCGAAGCTTTGTTGTGGCTGGGGCTACGCCGAGCCTCCTCGCGACAGCCTCGCTAGCCATGGCCATGTACATCATGGGCGGTTTGCCATTGTCATCGAATCTCGGGCAGCCATCACCATCGAGGAGAAGGATCTTCTGGCGCGCCGCGCCAGCCAGCAAGCGGCGACCAAGGCTCGACAGCACCATGTCCAGTTGCCGGCACTGCGACGCGCTGAGCACAAGGACGTTCAGCCCGCTGAGCGCCGCCTCCTGCACCGCGGAGCCGAACGCGATCCGCGTCGGGCGCCAGGTGCGGTTCCGCGCCCAGAAGCGCCCCGTGCTGTAGCATCCCCTGCGGGCAGCTTGCAGCCTTCGCCGAAGCTCCGTCTGCGCGCTGCCCGTGGTGGAGGTCTGGATGCCGAGGGCCACGTCGTCGTGCTGCGCGACGCCCGCGGGGGCCTCCGCTCCGCCGAAGAGCTGGCGCGTCTCGCGCGGGGTCCCGCGGCCCGGGGGGCAGGGCGAGACCGAGCTCTCGGGCGGGTTGCGCGTGTAGCCGTAGGGTTCCAGGGCGCGCCGCAGCTCGTAGCTCGAGTGCCTCGAGACGAAGCCCGCGTTCCTGGCCGAAGCAACCGCGCGCGCTCGTGATTGGCGTCGCCCGCGTGGATCCGAGTGCCCAGCGGCGCGGCAGCTTCCAGAGGTGGGCGCCGCGCGGTGCGGAGCGTCTCGCTCGGCCAGATCGCGGCGTCGATGTCTGCGCGAGGAGCTGGAGGTTGGAGAGGTTGGCGCTGCCACTCCCAGTGGGTGGTCGGGGGGCCGGGCGGGTCGTGGGCGGCCCGGGCGGCAGCGTGCAGTCGCTGTAGCCACTCGGCGACGGGCTCGCGGAAGGTCCGCGCGAAGGAGAGCGCTGCTGGGGTGTCCCCCATGAAAGCGCCGCAGCGGTTGTGGAGGTCCTGGTCGCCGTCGGCTCTCAGGTGACGCGGAAGGTGCTGCGCTCGTGCCGCCGGTGGAAGTAGTCCTGCTCCTCTGGGCGCGCTGCGGCCTCGACCGTCTGGCGCTGGGCTGGCGGCGTGGAGGGGCCGAAGGCGTTGCCCACGTCTTCCTTCGTGGCGAGGGGAGAGATGCCCAGCCGACGGAGACGTCCGAGAAGTCCTTCCTGGCAAAGAACTGCGCCTTCCCGATTGCGACCTCGCTGGTAGCCGTGTTCTCGTGGCGGTGGAACGCCCCGTGGCGCGCGGTGGAGTTGAGCTCTGTACCAGGCAGTGCCGACCTTGCATGGGCCGTGGATGAAGCGCTTGGAGTTGAACTCGGACTTCCCACTGTTCTTGTCGAGGCCCGTGGTGATCGAGCGGTGCCGGATCAGCAGGGCGCGCTTGACCCTCCTGATGTGGGCGAGGATGATCTTCGGAGCGCGCTTGGTGACGGGCGTGTCGACCTTGTCGACGTCAAGGCCGAGCCCGCGGCGATCGCCAGCAAATCGGTGGCGAGGTCGCAGCTCCGCTCGAGCTCTGGGAGGAGTGTGAGAGTGAGGAGGGTGCGGGTGCGGGTGAGGGTGTGGGTGAGGTTCGTCATCCTCTTCATCTTCGTCGCCAGGACGTCGTGGGCGTCGTCGCCTGCGTCTGCCATCGTATCGACGCCAGGGCTCGAGGGCGAGCCGAAAAAACCTCAGTTGGAACACTGTGAGGTGGTGCAGCACGACGTCGTGAGGACATCGAGAGGACCTCGACCAGCTTCTCGAAAACCTCGCGCCCGAGGTGGAGGTGGTCGTGCGCGTGCGTCGGGGCGCGGGGCAGCGCCTCCAAGTACTTCTGGCTGTGCGTCTTGGACTCGATAGGGATCGCGTCGAGGCCTCCATCGGCGCCGGCCTGTGCGAAGTGCCGCGCGATCTCAGCGCGCCGCGGGGGGGGCTGTCGCCGGCGTTGTAGCGACGTCGGCGTGGCCCCTTACATTGGGCCGCGAGATGGTGGCTGAGGCGCCAGACCTCGGCGAACTGCCGCTTCTGCCACGCCTCGTGCATGTCGCCCGCGAGGAGCTGCACCTCGCCGTCGAGACGATCTCGGCGATGCGCGCGCAGCTGGCGCGACGCCCTCGCGAGGGCAGAATGGTCCTCCCTATACTGCTCCAGCCACCGTGCCGGAATCACCGGACTCACCGGGCACGCCGGCCACCGGACACACGGGACACACCGGACATACCGGACACAACGGACACACCGGACACACCAGACACACTGGACACGCCGGACACACGGGACACACCGGACCGGACCCACCGGACCCACCGGACCCACCGGACTCGCCGGACTCACCGGACTCGCAGGACCCACCGGACTCCCGGATTCACCGGACTCCCGGATCACCGGGCGATTTTGATTGTGCTAGTGATAATTAGTGTTGGTATTGAGATAAGGATTTTGATGATGATGATGATGATGATGATGATGATGATGATGATGATGATGATGATGATGATGATGATGATGATGATGATAATGATGATGATGAATACGATGATGACTTGGGTGCTGCACCTGGCGGCGTTCGCGATAATTATGTTCTGGTTCTTGGCTTTTGAACGTTGATGCTGATCAGGGTGGTGGCGCTTATTATGGCCATGCGCCCGTTGTTGTAGCAGTGGGGGGATGACAAAAAAATGAATGGTGCTGGTGAGGAGGAAGAGAGGGGAGCAGGAAGAGGACAGCATGTTGTAAGGACCATCGTAATGATGAGGGATATGATGTTCATGACGACGACGATGGTAATGATGATGCTGTTTGTGCGTGTGGTGGTGATGCACCTGGCAATGATGATACTTGGATGCTGCAGATGGCGGCGTTCACGATAGTGATGTTTCGTGTTATTCTCTGATGAACGTTGGTGCTGATAAGTGTGATGGCCCTTATTATGGCAATGCGCTCGTTGTTAAAAGTGCTCGGGAGGACGACAGCATAAATGGTGTTGGTGAGGAGGAAGGGAGGGAAATAAGTAAATGATAGTTAATGATGAGGCATCTGATAATCATAACGACGACGATCGTAATGATGATGCTGATTGTGTTCGTTGTGGTGATGCCCATGATGATGATGATGATTACGACAACGACCATGGTGCTGATGATGAAGCTGAAGCGCGCGCTTATGATGATGAGGATGGTTTGTGCGATTGCGGTGATGATTCCGTCGGCGGGGGATATGCTGATGGCGATCATTGTAGCGATTTTGATTGTGACGATGGTGGTGCTGATATTGCGATAGTGATTTGGGCGATGATGACAAGTACGATGATGACTTGGATGCTGCACATGGCGGCGTTCACGAAAATTATGTTCTGGTGATTTGCTTCCGGACGTTGATGCTGATTAGGGTGATGGCGCTTGTTGCGACAATGCGCATGTTGTTGGTTTGGGTAGTGGTGACAAGTTCGCTGTTGATGGTAAGTTTTGCTCCCGCCCTGGACCTCGACCCCGAGAGATCCACGAAGGTCCCCGGAGGTCCCCGGAGATCCTGTGTTCGTGGTGGTGATTCCGATGATGATGATGGCGACAACGATGATGATGAGGCCGAAGTTTCTGCTTATGACGATGAGGAGGGTTTGGGCGATCGTGGCGATGATTTTGTCGACGGGGGTACTGCTGATGACGCTCGTTGTTACGATTGTGGTGATGATGATGATGATGATGATGATGATGATGATGATGATGATGATGATGATGATGATGATGATGATGATGATGATGATAATGATGATGACGATGATGATGATGATGATAATGGTGCTGATAGTTGTGATAATGATTTCGATGATGCTGATGATGAGTACGACGATGATTCGGATGCTGCAGATGGCGACGTTCACGATAATGATGTTTTTGGCGATTTGTTTGTGGACGTTGATGCTGGTTAGGGCGA